TTGGGCATTTCACTTGTGCATTTGATCTTTCTGGCTGGTTGGTTACTTGACAAGGGTAAGTTTTCTTCTTCTTTTTTGCTTGTTTGTAAAGGTTTGTCACCGCCTATACTAACTACCTTATTTATTTTGTTACTTTCATTCTTTTTCTCATCTTTATTTATTTCGGACTCCTCAATGATACTACTTTGTTCATCCTCAATGATACTACTTTGTTCATTACTCTTAACACCTTTGTCTATGTCATCTTCAACTTGTTGACCCATTTTTCAAACTGACTTCCCGATCTTACATTACTATTATTGGACCTATCTTTAGTTATTAATTTTTCAGTGTATCTCACACTTTCCTTAAATACTTCATATTCATTTTTTTTTGCCCCAATTCTGTTTTCATTACAATATTTAAAACCAATGTTGTCACCAGGCTTCATATTAACAGTTTTCTTTTAGATACAATTTTCAAGGTCCATATGATCGTTAGAGCTTTGGGCTTCAACAAATTTCAAGTCATTATTTTCATCAGAATCTAAATAACACCTTGACAAGTTTTGATCACATATAGCTGACATTCGAACCTCACTCTTCACAAAACTAATATTATCGGCTTTATCTGTATTGACTGGACTTGAATAATGCTCAAATACTCTGCCTTTATCATTACTGGTAGCTTTAGCATTATTAATAACCTCTCTAACATAATTGCAAGTTTTATATTCATAGTTTTGATTCGTTATATCAACATTTACCCAACTTCTATCTTTACAATAATAGCTACATTTATATATTTCATTGCCCTTAACTTTCATCTTAATATTATGACATCCAAGATCTTCCTTGCTTCTTGAATTGTCACCTTCGGCATTAGTTAAACACTGTCTAAATGCTTTATCTTTTTCAAGGCTGGTTTAATTTTTATGACAATATCCAACTTTGTATATTGCGTCATCATTACTAGATTCAGCAGATTTTTGATGGCGACTGAACATTGAATGCTCTAAGGTTTTTTGGATTTGGGCTACTATTGCTTATACTACTGGGGCTTCTTTTACAAGTCTATTTCCATCAACAGGAACATTACCTTGGTATTGAGTTGAAGGACTGTTACCATTATCATTTACTCAAATATTGTTTGGACACTTGTGGGCAATGTGTTCTACTCATTGATCGATGAGGCATACAGACAGTCAGTTTGTCTTCTTACACTATGCTTCATTTGACGGGAAACAGGAACAGTTATTGTTATCATTATTATTACCACTGTTATAACTACATCTTATAGTAAAGCCAAAATTGGCTCTATTAGATTATTCAAGGGCTGGAGTGATACAGTTTGCTGGGCTAGGATGTGTAAACTGAGTCATAAGATATATCATTCGAGGTGATAGTAGCAACATTAAGGTTGTAGAATGTAATATTAAATCATATTGTGCAGCAGGACTATATATAACATTCTTTTGAGTAAAAGACATTTCACAAGCTCAGGATTTTTCACAGCTTCTTCAAGCATATTTGGCATAAAAGTTCTAATGGCTAATGATAATTCAGGATGGAGGCCTTGCATGAATATTTGAACCTTCGTTACTTCTGAGTACCAGATTCCCATGGCTGATACATGTGTAAACAAGGACACTACATCAACAGCGTACTGTTCCATCATTTCACCCACTTGTTGCTGTTGGGTTAATAATTTGCGATCTACTAGTTTATTAGAGCTGGTGTGCAGAAAGTTTGCTGGAATTGAGTATGAAACTTTGGTTTTTCCTTGCTTCATCATTCCAGTATAGTATCCAACTTTTTCTTTGTTCTCACTACAGCACAGCAGGACCAATTAGGTGGGCTGCCGCAACTACAAGCTGCCTTGTTTCTACTATATTGTTTGCTTCAAATGCTCATTTTATTGACTTCAACTATTCTATAGGGTCTTGTTTTCCTCTGCTAAACATTAGGATTTTTACCAAATCTATTTTGCCAAAATTCGCTTGAGGTTCCTTGGATCATATTAATGCATCTACCATGATCTGGAGCAACTGTTGGAGTTGGTAATTCAGGTTACTCAACAGAATTTCATTTTGGAGGGGTTGTTTTTTCACATTTTTGAATATACATCTATACTATTGTACTAACGGTTGTTTACACTATTATACCAACATTCATTTCAACTTTGTATCTACAATCATTTACACTATTGTTATATACATGTTTGTTTACTTATTGTTGCGACATTCATTCATACTTATTACCGAAATGTTTTATACTCATTTAACATTTGCTATACAATCTATCAATGTTCGTCCACACAGTACTATCCACATTATACACACAATACTTATCTATGCTTACTTACAAAGATTATCAACACTTGTTCAAACAATATTATCAATGTTTGTTTGTACAATATTATCAATATTTACTCTTACTTAACATTTATTCACACACTTCAACGTACAATTATTATTGTCAATTACTTGTTCACAAAAAACTGACACCTTCTTTTGTTTGTTTACACAATTATCAATATTCATTCATATAATACTATCAACAGTTACTCTGGTTTAATATTTATCCACACAATTGACATCAAAATGTTACAACTTGGGAGAGCTTTTATTTATTCAGACCAATTTAGTTTAGTGCTATAAGCATAAATCCTAATGGTAAGTTTCACAATCCAGATCTGTATGTGGTAATAATTATTGATTGGGATAAGTATTGCTGCTTCAATTAATTTATATTTAAAGAAGTTGTCACAGGTTACGCTTAGGTTATATAGAGTCCAAGTTAGATTATCGCAGATTACATAAAGATCTAAGTTAGGTTATCACAGATTAGATATAGGTCTAAGTTAAGTTACCACAGGTTATTTATAGGTCCAAGTTAGATTACCGCAGATTACGTATAGGTTCAAGTTAGGTTGGTATAGGTACAAGTTGGTTATCACCGGGTCACTTAATAAGCAAGATTAGAGTTTATTGTATAATTATTATAGGGTTAAAGAGTTAGGTTACATATCCACTATATTTATTACTTGAGCAAAGTAAAAAAAAGTTTGAAAAAGTTAGAAAAAGTTAAAAGAATCTTGGGAGAGTTGCTTTATTTACTAGACAAATGTTCTATTTATACATTTAGATATTCAAGGGTTTCAAACCTGAATTTGGAGTTTCGAATCCAGATCTGAGGTTCCAAACCCAAATCCTGGGTTTCAAACCCTAATACCCAGTTTTGAACTCGTACATGTACTATTTCCATTGTGACTACAAGATCTTTTATTTGTATATAGAAAGATAAAGAAACTATATAGCGAAAATGCAATTTAAGAAAAATTTGTCAAAATTTTTTGTAATAGCAAATAGTGGTTGGTCATTCTCATAGGTAATAGAAGTATGATATTTGTGATTCTTCTACTTAAAGAAGTAATAGCTATTCTTCTAGTTGTAACTGGCTTCAACTTTCTTGGACTAGTCATTTTCAAGAAGTAAAGTATAGGAAGTTGCAGCTACCACTTTGACAGTAATAGGGATGGTTGCTCTTTTAATTTGAATAGATAGATCTTGAATAATTCCTAGAGGTCGAGAGAAAGTTTGGTAGCAGAGATAATAAGACTAGTTGAGGCTTGTTCAATTTTAAGTTCTAGTTCTTAAACTACTTTGTGACTAATCATACTAATAAATGCTCTGCTATCTACAATAGCTTGCTAATGTCTGTTTCTAATCTTAAAATTACATTTGACAAGAGTAGTAGTTGGTTTAGGAGTGATGGCAAGGGATTTTGCTTCCTAACTTAGATGGACAGAGAGAGCACTTTGGATAGAAGGATTATCTAGCAGAGTTTCCTATTTCTTTTGGCTTAGAGATAAAGAGGCTTTGGAGTTCTGGTTAAAATAATTGATATTATGATAGTAAGGTGAAGATGAACAATTAGAAGATCATCTAAAGTTTTCAGCATAGGAGTAGTAGCTATCTCATTCTTGAAAATAATCTCAATATCAAAGATAATTATCATAATTTTTAGATCTATTTCTACCTTTAGATCTACTTTGGTTAAAAGATCTTGAGTAATTTTTGTCTCAGCTTCTAGATTGATCATTTTTTCGATTACTGTAATGATTTTAGCTTCTGTCTCATAATTGTGTCTGATCCTTTAATTTAGCACAACATTAAGCGATAAAATGTTCAGTGTATTCACAATAGTGGTTGGTAGATAGTTATCTGATTCTATTAGCAATAGTAGGGTTTTCAACATAGTGTACTAAGGTAGGTGCAGGTTTCTGTTAAGCAAAGTTAATATTAAGTTGGACTATTTAGTCAGTTAGTTGCTTGATAGTTTGGTCTGTATCTGTAGTAGGTAAGGATATAAGGCAGACATTTTCCCAATTGCAAGCAACATCTATAGTAGCATCTAAGTCAGTAGGAGCTTCAGCTTGAACACCAATAGCATGTTTGGTCTAAGTCTTTGGATAAAATGTTAAAGATAAAATCAGTGAAAAAAGCATTAGTAATATCTATATAGGCTTGTAACTTTTTGAAATAAGTTACATAGGAATTAACTGAATCTGTTCTTGTTTAATGTCGAAAAGTGTTTTTGCCATTTGATCTTTTGGTTAGTAGAGTAAATTTAGTTTTGAAAAGATGATAGAAGCTTCAATTTTTAGCATGTATATTTTTAAAAGTATTAGAGGCAGGAATAAAACCTCAAAACTATTTAGCAGCAATTTTCTTTATATAGGCTGGAGCTAGAGCAAGTTGTTGAGTAGTCTTCAGTTGTTAACAATAGCAACATATTTAAATTCATTTAGCTATTCTACCAGCTCTTGGCTTCTGTCCTTAGTAAAGAAATTAATTTTAAGAAGGAACTTTTCACCACTGGATACAAGAGTATTAGTCAGGTTAGTCATAGCTTGGGCAGTATTGTTAAAAGCGTTTTCAACTATATTTACAGGTGGTGCTACTGTGGAGGTATTACAGGTAGTTGTAGTGGTAGTAAGTTAACTTCAAGTTGTTCTGGTAGTGGTAATAAGTTTTCTTCAAGTTGCTCTGGTGGTGGTAAATTATTTAGGCCAAAGAAAGATAGAAGGTTATTATTGAGTTATTTTTGATGATTTTTTGGTAATTTGAAAGTTTTAGTTAGAGTAAAGATTTCTTGAATATTACTATCAGATTCGTCTTCTTGATCTGACTCTTCAGGATATGAAGCTTCTTCTTGTTGTAAAGTAAGTTCTTCTATCTGTGCTTCTGGTAAAGAAACAAGGTGTATTTCAAAAGCATTTCAAGGAAAACATTAGAGAGGTTAATAGTAAGGGTCATCTGTTTTGTTATAGTAAGAGGGTAAACTAGAAGAAGATGAAGTCTTTTGAATAATCTGTTGGTCTTGTTTCTAAAACTGTAATTGTTATCTGGTTGATATTGTATAAAGGGTCCTAGATTTTCAAAATATCAGTTGTATTGTTCTGGTTTTTTATATCCAAAATTGTAAGCTAAATCAATGCAGTGTTTAAAAATATTTTGATATTTAAAGTTAATAGCAGATAAGGCAGTAAGGTGTGTATATCTGGTAAGTAATGCAAGAGCAATCTCTCTAAGGTTTCCAATATCTTGATTGTATTGAAAACTAAAAATAATATCTTGAATAGAGGTGTGAATAGAGGATCAGTTTCAGGTTACTGTTAAATGTTCAAAATTTGTAGTGGTTCTGAAAGTATAGAAGTAAACAAAATAGGTGTTAGAATATCAATTCTAAAATCTTCCAAAATTAGTTCAATAAAAAGTGCAAGCACTAGTTCTTGGTGGATAAAAGCAAGCTTAACAAGAAAGATCCAGATTTAAAGTTTATAAAGTTGTATAAGAAAGAGCAGTGTTTTGGGTATGTTTGAATTCATAGTTTTAATAAATTCATTGTGTTGTTAAGTTGCTCTATTAGTTACAGAGTAAAGTTAAAACTGGTTTGTGGCTAAAAGAGAAAAGATAATAATAAAATATGTTTTTTGAGATTGGATCCTAATAGCTACACTTAGACTTATAGAGAATACTTCAACTGTTTTCTTAAAGTTGGATCCTTATGTCTATACTTTGGTTTGTGTAGAATCCTTCAATGTTCTAGAATAATATTATCTAGTCACTAGCTAAAATAAACCAAGGCAGTGTTGTTATTTACAATACTCCAATTCAATCTGAGATAACTATTCTCTAATAAACAGCTATTAATTAAGAGAGACCGAGATAATGTTATCTGGTAATAGTTTTAAAATAGTTT